TTATTATCAAAATAAAAATAGATGTAAAAACAATAAATTATATTTAAGTGGTGGATCATATGATGATGAAGGTAAAGGATTTAAAATTCGAAAATGGATTGAGTTAAGAGATAGATTTAGAGAAAATTCATAAGTAACTTTTAATGAAGAATATAAAAAAAATTAATAGTTTAAGATATGTAAAATTTTAATTAATTAAAATAATATTTTAGTAGATCATATGATTAAGGGGATAATGGCATTAAGATTGGTCCTTGGGTTGAGGTAAGCAATTGGTTTGCAATTTATTGGTAAATAACTAAAAATGGTAAAAAGTTGGTATGTGGGTAGAAAAAGATATTAAAACAATGATCTGTAAAGAAATACATTACCAGTATTGAACAAATTTGATTGGATTTAAATAACTTCTTGGTATTTTTAAGGTTGTTATTTAATTATTTAATAAATTACAAAAAACTGATTGAAATAGAGTTATATATCAGTTGTTTATTAGAGATGTTACAATTTCATTTCTAATTATAATAAAAAGGGATATTATCAAATAGTAGCAAAGATTTAACTAAACAAAACTGAGTTTATTCATTTGAATCAAAATACAAATTTAGAAGAATGTATTATTATTATTTATTAATTATTTAAATTTAGATATTCGAGAAGCCATTTAATTATGACAATTTCTGTTAAAATTATTTTTTATTTTAAGGTGATTGTTATTGCTTTGAATGTTCTATTTCATACGAGATTAAAATCTTATATATACTCAATTCTAATAATTGTTCTAATATTTTACTCTTTAGAATCATATTTATACCTGTTTAGTCCTTTGACAAAGTTATTTACAGTATATAAAATTTATAATTTAATGTTAAACAATAATAGAAGCAGAAGTATTTATATTCATAGTATTGGATGCTTTGGATTAGGATAATTCTTTTTACAAGCAAATAGATTTAATTACATTTTACAAAGGAATAGCATATTTATATAGAATAATTTTTTTCATATTAAAGATTGGTGAGAGGGACTACTATATAATTAATTATTTTTCATTTAATTTATTGTAGTTTTCAAGTTATTCCAGTTTGGATATCCAACTAAGAAGCAGGTTTAAACCAGAAATTTTCAGAAATTAAATTAAATGTTTAGAGATATCTAAACAATCTTCTCCAATAAAATAGAGTTAGATTAACTGAACATCTACAAAAAATATATCATTATTAATAAGACTACTAAATATATTTAAGTTGTAATACTATTTAAATTATATTGATTTAGATGAATGAATTCATTTTAGATTGAGAATAATAATAATTTAAATTAATTCATTTATTTAATTAGATTAAGAAGGTTTACCATTTCGAAATGCCATCAAAGCCTAATACTGACAGGTGAATTAAGCATATTAAAATTAATAATTAAAAAAAAGTCGTATTCCCATATGATTTTGTAAAATTCTATAGTAAAACGCAAATATCAAAATAGCCCGATTTAAGTAGAAGAAACTAAAAATTGAAGATTTCTAATAATATTTAAAAATAAAAAATATGAGTGGAATTCTAAAAGTTAAAAATTTGATTGAAGTTCTTTAGCATCGATTTGTACTTGAATCTCACATCAGTGTTTAAAACGAAATGACTTATAAAATATTTAAATATGATAATATCAAGCACCCTCTTCAAATAATTTTACAACGATTTCAATTTGAGTTTTATCTTTTTTGAAATTGCTTAAAGTTGCCTATCCTTAGAGACTTTTTTGGGAATCCAATTCAATTGAATTGAAGCCCTTAGTAATAAAAAATACTAATTTTCTAGCGAAGAGATCAATTTTCAATACATTAGTGAAAGTAAATTTCAAATCTTCTAATGCTATTTTTGTATTTAAGTCCTAATTTTATTTATCATTGTACCATAATGATAAATTTTTCAAAACGAGGAAATATAAATTTAATCCGCTCGTATTCACAAATCATTTTGGAATAAAAACAATTTATATTTAATTTAAACTAAAAAATGAGGTTTTACAAAAAATAAATTTATTTTTTCGAAAATTATGCAATAGAATGTGATAGAGTTTGTAATCAATTAAATCCATCACTAAGTATACAAATATAGTCAATAAATTTTTAGAGATTTAATAATGAATCATAGATTGAAAATATTTAATTCTAAATTGTTTGAATTACTTCTTACCATTAAATACAACTACTTATACATAAATCATAACTTATTTATACTTCTCAAGGCTTATTACTTTTGTTTAATAAAAAATAAATTAAATTAAAATTTTTTGAGTTTTTTAATGATATTAGGAGAAGAAAATTGTTATATATATTCAACCATTTTGGTTTTAAAACTAAGAAAATACTTAATTTCTTGTTTAATATTTTAAGTTTGCAAAATTTTAATACAGTTTTGTTTACATATATTTATAATATCTATAACAGCCCTTAAAAACATAATATTGGTATATAGATTGTAATAATAGATTATTTAACTTATTTAGTATAATTAGCTAAAAAGTAATTTATAAAATAGTAGAGTAATAATACTTATATATATTGGATCACTAATATGTTCTTAGAATTTCTATTAGAGAGCTCAACAATGTACTGAAATTACTGCTAAAAATTTATAAAACTCTAATAACAATATGCAATATGAAATTTATTTGTATCCTTAGAAGAAGAATTATTAATTATTAAAAATTACTGAATAAAAATCAGTTATTCGCTTCAACTTATTTTTTCACTCCAATACTTTATAATTTATCAAAGTGATTACTTTACTACCTCATTATTTTTCAATTAGAGGAAATAACAAAAAGAATCTATAAAAATATTGACAAATCTATTATTAGATGATATTAATTAAAAAGACCTTATTACATTATTTTTATTAGTATATTTTGGATGGGATATAAAGAACAAAATAAGGTTTAAATATGATGATCGATAATTAAGAAAATTAGACTTTAATATACATTTAATATATATTCACAATTAATGATTCAGCATATTAATTAAAAAATTTTGACATCATATTCCATAATTAGTTAAGATAAAAGATTAAATACTTTGCAGCATCTCTCATTATCATAATTTATACTAATGTCCAAAACAAAAAGTTATGAAAATGGAATTAAATCAATGATAACCTCAAATTAAGAACTAAATTCATCAATTTTTAAGATAAAATAGACTATAAATTTTAGTCGAATCTACTTTCTATTAGATCTAATAATCGAAAAAGTAATGAAAACTAATCAACATCCAAGAGAGAAACAAACAAAAAGGAGATTCACTCTTTAGCCCTTAAGAAATAATGCCTTAAGATCTCCAAAATAAAGAATTGCCATGATAAGATCAAATATAAAACAAAAAAGAGATTATTTAAAAAGAAAAAATTAGAAATAACAGCTTTGACTATCTCAACTACAAACCCAACAGATTAATGATGAAATATTTAATTGTTTATTTTACAATTTCTATTCTATATAATTATTTTATAATTGATTTTGAAAAATATTAAAATACTTAATGAAATAACTAATAAATATTTGATTAATCAAAAACATGAAATATCAATTTTATTTATGATAATTATTAGTAGTTTAGATGCCATAATTTGAAAAATGTAATCAAACCCAATAATGGATGAAATATTTAAAAATTCTTAGTATTTTCTTATCATATCAGATACTTTTATTTGATGGATAATTCAAATATGACAATTATTTAATTGTCATAAATAGTCAAATATTATAATTGGAATGATTGAATCTTAATGGACGCTCTTATTAAATTTAGTTGAATTTCATATTCATCATAATTATTTCTTTAATTTGATAGTTGTTATTGATTTATTTTAATCATATCTTTAAATTCCAATTCCTTTTTTCTTTGCAGTAAAAAATAAAAATAAATTTATGGATGATTAGTTCCCCTTTAATATTTTAGATTAATTTGAGTCATTGATAAGTATTAATAGATATAATCTATAACAATATTAAATCATGAATAATCGAATTAGGATTTCTTGTGATCAAATAAACATTATTACCACTTGTTTTTTAGGCATAGGTAAAATTTTCCAGATTATTATTTCTTTGTAATTATAAATTTGAAATTTTCTAAATAATAGAATAAGGAGATATAGAAATATAGATGATAATTTATAATATATTTTATATTTTAATATAAATTTAAATATTTAATATAAATTAAGAATATAAATTTTTTAATTGAAATATCATGTAAAATATATAAAATAATCAAATGATTCTTATTTGTTCATTATTTTTTCATGTATTTTCTTAATTAAATTTAACCAGTATGATAATCCCAAGTAATTAGATATTCACCATTATCACTCATTGTTCCAAATATACTTTATGTTCTAAATTGTATGCTTTGCAATAAATTAAATTGCATATCTTATTATTACTCTAATTTAGTACTACTTATATGAATAATATTTATAGTTTGACCATTTTTGAATAGGATAATTTACTTTTAGGGAACATAAATAGCAGAAAAATATTCATAACAGGATTCGTTACCTCCTTTGACTGAAATATCTTAGGATTTAATATAGTCTCCTGATAGCTTATTGGAAGTGTAGATTTGAAGGTAATTTGATTTATATGGTTAAAATGCGAATATTTGATCTGAAATGTACGCCAATCTAGCACCATTATTTTCTACATTAATTGTTTTAATAATAATCCATTTTTATGTATTTGAACCCTTCATAACCAAGATTACATTATTATTTCCACATGAAATTAATTCATCTCCATTTTAATTCAATGATAATCCAAGATAAATTGAATTTTCATGGCTTATAGTTTAATATTAAACCCATTATTAGTGCTATGTAATTTCAGAAGAAGAAGACCAAAATTCAATAGAATTTGAACCACAAATTATTAGATCTTCACTAGGGTGAATGACTAGACAATTAATACTATCAGAACACTTAGGTAATTTTACTAAATATTTTGAAGATGAAATATTGGTTTATGGCCAAAGTTTCAGTAAGGCATCATATGAACCAGATATAAAATTTGGTTTTGTCTTAAAATAATTAAGAGTAGTCATATCACCAGAATTATTAAGAATTTTCAATAATCTCAATACACCATCTTTGAATTGAAATAATTTAATTTAAGTATAATCGCCAGCAATTAATTAGTTATTATTATGGTTGATTGCAATTGCAAAACAGAGTGATAATTCATAGAAAGGTTTTGATTAAAGTTCATATGAGAATTATGGTTAGAACATTTTAAAAAAATTAAATCAATTAACCATAAATAAATTCTAAATTTCTGAGAAAGAACAAGGAAATCTATTTTTAAACTTCTCATATAATATATATAGAACCTTAATAATTTTATAGTTCATTAAAGTGTGAATAAATCAATCACTTTTAAATTTACAAATATTTGAAAATTCTCTATCATACACTTGTGTTAATTGGATATACATATAAAGACTTTGATTTCCTAAAATTTTGTGATAAATGTTATCATGAAACAGTTTCCATTATTATAAAGTAAAACAATATTGCTTTCACTACTGTCGTATTTTAATGATACATCTAAAAACCAAGTGATTTATCAACAATAAATTCAATCTTTGATAAAAACAATTTTTGAATACTGTAATATTTCTAATATAAATTTTTGCAAGTTTTACATTATTCTTTTTAATTCTACAAAAAAATACAATAAATTTGTTGCAAATGAAAAAAAAGGATTATTTTTTATGATAGAGGCTGATTATAATATGAAACTTGTTATTTTGCAAAGACTATTTACAATATTGATATGTGTTTAAATTAAATGCCTAATTATAATGTATAATTGCCTTAATGAAAAGAATTTAGTCATTTATAAAAATTTCCTAAGTACGCTATAATTTATTCATTCTTTGAGAACAAGTTTTTTATTAAGTATCATTGATGAATTATCTAAAAACAGTTCAGGAAATCAAAATATAAGGAAACTTGCTCTTCGAATTCAACACAATAGAAGTTGAAATTTATAATATTTTACAATAAAAAGAACATTTATATTAAGTTTCAAATTTATATTTTAATTAAAAATAAAAATTTATGTATTAAATATAATTATATATATTATTGTCTCATACAGAATGCTCATCATGTATTTATAAATTAAAAATTCATGAAGATAAAAAAATGAAAATCACAATTCTATATATATAACAAAAAAATTTCAAAAACAAATTTTTATTTGTCTTCAAAATTATAATTTATACTTATGATTATGCCAACTATCATAATACTCATACTATTTCAACTATCAATAAATATTTCAGATAGATATTCAACTTGAAATAATTATGCATATTAGCATCTTGAATATTTAATTTTATTTATAATTGTATTGAATTATTCTCAATAAGAAGAATAATCTAATTGTAAAATGAGTAGTTTTTAGAATTTGTTTATAAGTGAATAATTACAACAATCTTAGGATGAATTATGAAAATCAATTCAATTATTTAGTCATTTGATAATTTAAGTAAGCAACTTAAATATCTATTAGATAGATCAGAAGCTATAAAGATTAGTATCTTCAACATAAAACAAAATAATAGGTCTAAAATCGGGATGAAAATAAAATATTCATAGTATATAAATTTTTGTACATTTCTCAATATTATTATTTATTTTATAGAATTAGAAATGTTTGCATCATAAGAACATCATAAAATCATCACTATTTATAGCAATTCTTCACGTCTCTTTAATAACTTGATAAGATTAATTTTCTTATATCTACTGAATATGTCAATATAGGCCTAATAATTAGTATATTCTAATTTTTTTGGAAATTTCAATTACTAAAATGGTATAATTCTTAAAATATATTACCTAGATTGGATAGTCCAAAATGGAAATGGAGTCTCTACTATTTGTGGATCTTCAAATATTTTTGGAGGCCGTCCTAATTTTGGAGGGAATACATAGATAACAAAGAATTTATTTTTACTCCCTCATAATTCTCTATCATTAAATTTTAAATTCTGGCAGTAAAATTATAATTGATCTTAGTATTGATAATTGGGGAGGTGAAAGAATGGAAGTATATGTTGATAATCTCTTAGTTTTTACTGGTAATTATAATTCAGAATGCACTTAATCCAGTATTTGTGGAACTTCTGGTTCTTGTTGGGGTGATGGTGTAAATTCAGTAAATATTAATATTAATCATGTTAATGAATATGTTTAAATAAAAATAATCGGATATGATTATTATTGGGGGATATCTGAATTTCAAGTGTGGATGACTCTTTATATATAAGGATGCAATTCATGCAATATATAAGATAGATTTAATAAAACATATTTATTTCAATAATTTAATGAAAAATTATTTAATTAAAGAGATAGAGTGTTTCAACAATTAGTTATTTTGACTTTTACATCTTGCTTCGGTAAATTTAAAATTTAAAATAGAGTAATAAAAGATAATGCTATCAGGAGATTACATTATGAAAGAAATTTATTTCTATAATCATGATACCATCTGTATATCCCTTAAATAAACAAGTACTTAAGCAAACCCCTNTTTTATTTGTCTTCAAAATTATAATTTATACTTATGATTATGCCAACTATCATAATACTCATACTATTTCAACTATCAATAAATATTTCAGATAGATATTCAACTTGAAATAATTATGCATATTAGCATCTTGAATATTTAATTTTATTTATAATTGTATTGAATTATTCTCAATAAGAAGAATAATCTAATTGTAAAATGAGTAGTTTTTAGAATTTGTTTATAAGTGAATAATTACAACAATCTTAGGATGAATTATGAAAATCAATTCAATTATTTAGTCATTTGATAATTTAAGTAAGCAACTTAAATATCTATTAGATAGATCAGAAGCTATAAAGATTAGTATCTTCAACATAAAACAAAATAATAGGTCTAAAATCGGGATGAAAATAAAATATTCATAGTATATAAATTTTTGTACATTTCTCAATATTATTATTTATTTTATAGAATTAGAAATGTTTGCATCATAAGAACATCATAAAATCATCACTATTTATAGCAATTCTTCACGTCTCTTTAATAACTTGATAAGATTAATTTTCTTATATCTACTGAATATGTCAATATAGGCCTAATAATTAGTATATTCTAATTTTTTTGGAAATTTCAATTACTAAAATGGTATAATTCTTAAAATATATTACCTAGATTGGATAGTCCAAAATGGAAATGGAGTCTCTACTATTTGTGGATCTTCAAATATTTTTGGAGGCCGTCCTAATTTTGGAGGGAATACATAGATAACAAAGAATTTATTTTTACTCCCTCATAATTCTCTATCATTAAATTTTAAATTCTGGCAGTAAAATTATAATTGATCTTAGTATTGATAATTGGGGAGGTGAAAGAATGGAAGTATATGTTGATAATCTCTTAGTTTTTACTGGTAATTATAATTCAGAATGCACTTAATCCAGTATTTGTGGAACTTCTGGTTCTTGTTGGGGTGATGGTGTAAATTCAGTAAATATTAATATTAATCATGTTAATGAATATGTTTAAATAAAAATAATCGGATATGATTATTATTGGGGGATATCTGAATTTCAAGTGTGGATGACTCTTTATATATAAGGATGCAATTCATGCAATATATAAGATAGATTTAATAAAACATATTTATTTCAATAATTTAATGAAAAATTATTTAATTAAAGAGATAGAGTGTTTCAACAATTAGTTATTTTGACTTTTACATCTTGCTTCGGTAAATTTAAAATTTAAAATAGAGTAATAAAAGATAATGCTATCAGGAGATTACATTATGAAAGAAATTTATTTCTATAATCATGATACCATCTGTATATCCCTTAAATAAACAAGTACTTAAGCAAACCCCTACATTATTTAATTTTATTTAAATGATGAAATAGTATCAAGTTCAAAATCTTCTAATTCAGTATTTTCAGAGGCAATATGTAATATATAGAATTTACGAGAGATAAATATTTTTTAATATTAGGATTTATTACCGATTAAGCTAACAATAAATGCTTATTTGGTTGAAGGATATTTTCATTAGATATTTAATTTGAATGATTTTTCTCTTGTAATAATTATATAAGACTATGAAGACTGTTTAGATAAAAATAAAGATCCTTTTGACGGATGTTTTTCAGGAAGATATGATTGTGTTCAAGGTTGTAGTAATTGTATTAGGGGTATTTGTATTGAATGTTAGAAAGGATGGGAATTTAATATGTTATTATAAATTTGCGAACCTATTTGTGGGGATTACATAATTATAAATATTGAATAATGTGATGATGGGAATTATTTAGAATATGATGGTTGTTTTAATTGCAAATTCTCTTGCCCATTATTTTGTAAGTATTGTGAATTTGGTAAATGTTTAGAATGCCAATCAAATTACAATTTTATTGATAACAAATGTGAAAAGATAAATGGAAATTAAGAATAAAAATCATAAGAAAATTTCTTTAATTAAATTTCTAATTTTTTAGATTATGGTAATTATTATCATAAATTATTACATGATTAATTTGCTAATCCTTTACCAATTCATAATTAAGATTGTAATTTTTAAACACATGATATATTTGGATATCAATGTCAAATAAAATTTATAGAAAATTGTTTATAAAGTCTAAATGATAGATGTTTAGAATGTGAAAACTTTTATAAACTATCTTGGAATAAAAAATAATGTATTCCTTAATGTAATGACGGTATTGTAATTTTATATGAATTTTGTGATGACTAAAACAATATATAATTTGATGGTTGTTATAGATGTTAATCAAGTTGCTAATTAGAATGTAAATAATGTATATAATAATAATGCCATATTTGTATTGATGGTTGGAAAATGATAGATAATCGATGTTATCAAATATGTGGAGATGGTTAATTGGCTATTTCTTCTTAAGAATAATGCGATGATGGAAATTATAATCCATATGATGGATGTTATAATTGTAAATTTGAATGTGATCCAAATTGTTTTTCATGTTCTAATTCTAATCTATGTTTATTTTGTGAAATCAATTTTGAAATGGATGATAATAATAAATGTAAACCAATTTGTGGAGATGGAATTATTGAGTAAGGATTAGAAGAATGTGAAGATTTTAATGATATCTAATATGATGGTTGCTATTAATGTATGTTTCAATGTGAAATTAATTGTTCTAAATGTCTCAAAGGTATCTGTTAAGAATGTGTAGACGGATATGAATTATTAGTAGAAGGATGCTCAAAAATATTTATTAAATAAATTGATGATTTAGAAGATTAAGATATTAAATTATATTGTGGTGATGGAAATCAATCAAAAAAAGAGTAATGTGATGATGGAAATAAAGAAGATTTTGATGGTTGTTCAAGCAAATGTGAAATAGAGGAAAATTGGCATTGCAATTTGGAATAACCTAATATTTGTTATCTAATAACTAAATTTTCTTTAATTTATTTAAATCAAACATATGACCATTAATATGTTTAATTGTAATTTACAAATCAAGTGAAATAGATTTAAAAATTCAATTTTACTTAATCAATCTTAACTGAGATATACAATTTAAGTTAAGATTAATATTAAGTAATTATAAATCCAGTAGTGAATGTTTATGAAACTAAGTTTACTATGGCAATATTTGAATTTGATATATTACATTTAGAGTAGATTTCCTTTTTACCAAATTTATCAGTTTCATTCAATTCCTCTTTAATTGATAATAATAATATGTCAGTAGATCTCTCTAAATAAACAATTTAACTTTAACAACCTAAAGTAATGAGTAAGGACTTAATTAATGTTGCAAATAAATTTTAAGACCTTGGAAGTGCATTAATGATAGGTTTAGGAGCTATTAGTGTACTAATGTTATTCTTTGGAGATCCATAATAGAGTTTAGAAATTTTTG